GTGCGCCCCGCTCTCCTGCCCCACAGCAAGGGCGATGCCCCCCCCCTTCCGTTCCTGTCGCCCCACCTCAGAGCGGGCTTGGGGTAAGCAGGTGTCACGGGGACAGTCCAGGTATTTTGGGCTTTGTCTTTATATCGGCTCCTGCTTCCCTCCCGCCTCCCCTTCTGATTTCTTTTCACACTCGCCCTCTCCTAGCAGGGGCGGGCCAGAGTAAACAGCCTCGTCCTCCTAGGGACCTGCCCTTGCACCAGCTGCTCCGGCATTTCCTCCTTCCACGAGCCATGATTGTCACCTCTCTCTCAGCGCGAGCCGTTACTGTCACGAGAAAAGCAGGACATGGCCCCGTTCGGACAGGCCACGTAAAGCCCAAAGGATCCTTGGTTCCTGTGCCCTTTCCCAGGGCAGGCTTGTTAATAACTGAAGAATCAAAATAATGCAGAACACTAAATAAGTGATTGTGCCTGCCGTTCATATCTGGGGAGGGGAATGAGGTGCACTTTTATGCTAGGTAGTGCTTTCCTAGCTGTGTGGGCCCACCTGACTTTGGGGATTTATGCTACCCTTGCCTAAGAGGAAGTTATCTTTCTATGCTATTTGCCATTCTGTAGGTTATATGCTTCCTCCTACTCTTGACACTTGCACCTTTTGTTCTCAGTTGTAAAGGCCAAAGGCTGTAATAGATTAATTGAAAAGTATCTGTTCACCTATTGTCATGTTACAAACGTGTGAGCTGGCCTTCTGTATAAAGTACTAAACTCTCAAAGCCTCTGTCTCAGCCCTCTTAGGAAATAACCCAGGTTTGATTGTTTCCCAGGGATCACAGCTGAGACCATTCTACAGTTTAGCTCTTAAGGAAAGAGGGCCAAGTTGTTCCATCCAGCACACAGAGAAGCGATTGAACAGATTTCTGAGGATAAAGACCTTGAGGAAAATACTTTTACAAAGTTAATGTGCGGAAACGTATTTATCCTGTCACTTGTTACCATAAGAATATGTAATAGGGATGTAAGCAAGTAGTTGACTACTTGATAAACTTATCAGGTAGTTGTACGGTTGCCAGATACTTTCACAAAAAATCCTGAACATGGCAGGGGGGAAAATTGGTTGAGCAAAAAAAAAAAAAAAAGAGGGGGGCACTAAACTTGAGCCTCCCAAAAAAAGTTGCTGCACCTTTAAATCGCCATGCTCCCCCCACAAGACATGGCAGGGAAAGAATGCCCCCAGCAGCATTCAGTCCGAAAAAAACAAACCACCAGCCACTTTACATGTCCAGTATTTTCTGTCTTTTTTTAAACCAGATGGGCCACAAATAGCAGACTGCTCGGCCGAAAACTAGACACCTGGCAACAGAGGCAGCAGGGAAGAGGGGAGATAGGAAAGGCTGCTCTTGCAACAGCCCCTATCCGCAGGGGTCCCAGCAGGGAGCAGCCTCTGTTCAAGGCGGCTGCTGCTGGGG